ACTTCGATGTGGAGTGCTGGCCACAGCACTTCATAGGAGCAGTGGAAGTGGGATCTGTGCTTGCTCATGTGTACCAGCAGCCATAGTGGCATGTCAGACTGCCTGTGCCTCAGCAGCAGTGGAGTCCCAGTGGAGGTGGGTAGGGCGGTGGGATGTGCTCTGCCATCAGTGGTATGGCAGCAGGGGGCACATGCACATTTGTGTTTTTGGGGGAGGGGAGGTGAAGTCTGCCTATATGTGTGTGCCAGCAAAGCAGTGGGAGGGATCTGTGGGTGAATGTTTGCTGACAAAGCGGTGGGGCAGGCTGCTTGTAGGCTTTTCACATCAGTGGAGGCTGGTCTGCTGGAGGTCTCCAGTGGTTAGATGCAGTCTGCCCATGAAGGAGCTATGATGGGGCCCCCCTGGGAAGCACCCTGTTTGGGTATCGAAGGCAATGCTGGAAGCTGGTGTGACCATGCTGGGACCCTAGGAGAGGCTGGCACATTGGGGGTGGTGCTCAGATCAGACTGTCCTCACCCTATGGTCAAGATCACCCTGGTCTGTGCAGGTCCAGCAGTCACCCAAAGGCTAAGGCTACCAGAAGATCCTGGTGAGACTTGGGGGATGGGCATCCCTGGCCATGTTCCACTGTACCTGTTCCCACACAAAACCTTCTGGGCTCCACACAGGCTGGAGTCCTGCCCCTGCCACCTCTCTCAGCAGCTCTCCCTGCCAGCTCAAGCATTCATGTGGGTCGTGGGATCTCCTGCAGCTAGGATTTCAGAGGTCTGTGGCAAGAGCAGGCTACTCCTTGCCTATACAACTCATCCATTCCCCAGGTCTTCCTTGGAAATGGCATTGGTAGGATTTGAGATGCAAGGATTCTTCTTGCATAGCAGGAAATAAAGGAATTCTGAGAGGGGTTGTGGTTTTGAATTTTTAGGCCAAATGTTTTTTGATCTACCTATTGTTTTTCCCTAATAAATACCTGGATACTGTATCCTTTCTAAACTGAAGGAGTATCTGTTCCATACAGGGCTTTGATAATTCACAGTTGAGACACTTTTTTTTTTTATTAGTTTTCAAAGTGGAGAACTAGTAACTACAATGACAGTTTATATATTTGCTCAACATTTTTAGCAGTCCCCAAACTTGAAGAGTAAATTATAATTTGAAGATTCTAAAAGTACATTTCTGTCTTTTTCTCTTTATCTTGTTCCAGAAGGATTTGAGGTATCTTACATAAATACATAAAATTTTCTTTTCTAATGGATAACTGAGGCAAAGGGAGTGTAGATGTAAGAAAAAATAATAAGAAGCCAGAGACTGAAAATCTTCCAAGTCAGTACCAACTCCAGCAAGGTGCTGGCGAAAGAAACCGCTGGGCTTGACTTCAAGAATGATTCCTGGTGTCTGTGACAACAGGAGAAGGCTTGAGGCCTGACATGACTGCGATGTCCTCATCAGCAGGGCGAGAGCCACCCTTCATTCCCACAGCAGCTGGAGACAGCTGGTCGTGAGCAGAGCTTGGAACACTCCCCAGCTGACCACACGCCCACCCACCTGCACTTTGACCTCTCTGGTGAGGTCAGAATCCAGCACGTGTGTTATTCTGAAATTAGTGTTTTTCTTCTTACTTTTGAAGATGCTATCATCTGTGAATATTGGCATCTGTGCAACATTATCAAGCATATTTTTGCAGTTTAGAGAATTAAAGGTAAAAGTTTATTAGGGTTCTTTTCTCCCTGTAGGAAAAGGAATGATCATCAGAAATGATGGCTGTGGGTCTCTGCTGTGGGAGTGGTTGAGATCAGTGAGGGAGGAGAAGGCTAAGGTGCCCTCTAGCTTCCCACCCCTCAGTGCTCCTGTTCTTACTTGCCAGCACCCCAGGAAGGACACGTGCATTGGAAAGGAATGCAAGTCCCCGGTGTCTTGTCAGCAGTTCCAAAATCCAGGGATTTCAACACTCATTTTATGGCAAGCCCTGCCCTGCAACATGGGCTGTTCAGCAAGCGTCATTATTCACCCCTGTACCCACTGCATGCATTTGTTTGGTGAGCATTTATTTCCCACCACCTGTGTGCCAGGGAATGGGGTAAAGGAAAGGAACAAATGACAGTCATTAGTGGAAGCTTGTGAAAACCACAGCGCACCTTCTGGGCATGTGTTAACTCAGAGTGTGTCACTCTTTACGGCACCCTGTTAGGTTAACTCTCCAAGGCCTAGGGAGCACAGGTCTTATTAGTTTTTCTTTGTAAACTTGAAAGACACATACCCAGTACAGGATTTTTTTTTTTTTTTTAGGAGGGAGTCTTACTCTGTTAGCCGGGCTGGAGTGCAGTGGTGTGGTCTCGGCTCACTGCAACCTCTGCTGCCCAGGTTCAAGCAATTATCCTGCCTCAGCCTCCCGAGTGGCTGGGATTACAGGCATGCACCACCATGCCTGGCTAATTTTTGTAATTTTAGTAGAGACGGGATTTCAGCAGGTTGGCTAGACTGGTCTTGAACTCCTGACCTCAAGTGATCTGCCCTCCTTGGCCTTCCAGAGTGCTGGGATTACAGGCATGAACCACTGTACCCAGTGCAGTGCAGGATTTTGAAATGTTAAGTGTTCAGGAACAACCTGTCCATCTGGTCTGGGAGTGATGGGCTACTTTCTTAGAGAGCTCTCAACTCTTACATGTTGATGCTAACTGGCTCCTAGAGAAGTATTCCTAATGTGTCCTTTGGGCCATGCTAGGAATGCAGTTATTTGTGTACTGGAGCTTAAAAATATATGACAAGGTGTGAAAACAAGTACTGAACAGCCAACATGGGGAGCATCTGCAGATGGTGACTCAGAGAAACGGGTTATCAACACTGACTTTGAGAAGGGCCACGGCTGCCATTTGGCTCATAACTGATCGCTTGGGAGAACGAGGGTGTGTTGGTTACAACAGAGGTCCTGCTTGGGTGGCCCATCACCTCTGCAGCTTTAAAATGGAAACAAAGTGGCTCTTCACAAATTCCAGGCTGGTCAGGTCAGAGATAACCTGGTTGGTGAGTGTGGGTGTAGGTCAGTAGATTTTCCACCAGTGGCCTCTTTCATTCTGCCAATGTGCAAAGGTAGAGCTACCTAGGACCTTGATTTTGTCTTAGAATGGATACTTTCTTCTCTTATTCCATCACTGAGGCCCAGAAGGCTTGAGAGGAGATTGGCCTGGCTCTGAGGGAGGAGGCTCATCCTGCAGGCTGAGAAGATTTCGTTTTGCAGTTTTGTGATAAATCAGATGACATACTTTTCTCCTTCGAGGGCTTCTGTTTTATCATTTAGAGTTTAAAAGTGATGCTTGTGTTTTTCTCAAATTCAATGATATTTCTTTAAAATACAGTAATACCTGCATATTATATAAATTTGGAAAATACAGAGGAAAATAGGAAAATGAAGATCACATATCACTATTCATATTTTGGTTCTTCCTAGATGTTTTAGTATTTATTTTCCTTTGGGGCCTGAAGATACTTGTATGTAAGATTTTTGCAAAATCGTGATCTAACTGTGTATGCAGATTTATATCCGCTTCTCTCTCGATCTCTGAGCCATCCTCATAGTATGATTTTAATGGCTGTGTACCTTTTTACTGTTGCTGGCTTTATCTATAGTTGTATATTTCTATTTTTTGCCCTTTTTTGTGATTGTAATTGTGTTGTATAGCACATTTTTGTTTGTAAATTATGACCCATATCTCAGATTATTTAATAATACAGTAGTTACCTCTTATCTGTGGTTTCACTTTCCATAGTTTCATTTACTCACGGTCAACCAGGGATTAAAAATAGGTGAGTACAGTACAATAAGATATGTTGAGAGAGAGACCTCATTCACATAACTTTTATTACAGTGTATTGTTATAATTCTATTAGTTATTGTAAATCTCTTGCTATGCCTAATTTATAAACGACACGTTATCGTAAGTATGTATGCACAGGACGTAACATAGTCTAGTAGATGTAGGGTTGGGTACTGTCTGTGGTTTCAGGGATCCACTGGAGGTCTTGGAACATAGCTGCTACAGATAAAGAGGGCCTACTGTATCCACTTGTGGTCCTGGAAAGATTTGGGTCGCTTTATGAAGCCGGTTGGTGCATATGTAGACTGTGTGTAGCAGAGATGTGTCCATATAGGCTAGTGCTAACATGGAAATAACTATCAAATGAAGGAAAAGCCTTCCTGTTTATATTCGGATGCTGAAAATGCGTGCTGTTCATATTAATCTGTTGTGTTGGTCAGAGGTGTTTCTGTGTACAAAGACTATGGCAGCTTTGGACCTGTCGGTGTGGGCTCTTTAATAACAATAGCTGTTTATCAGAGTAAGATTTTACAGGGATATAGATTATCTAAAGAATCAGTGGAGAATTACTCACACATTTACTACTAATCCTTCCCTATTGTGAGGAAAGAGAAGATTTACATTTTAGCCTGGATGTAGGTCATATGACTTTTCTTCTGATTATGTATTTTTTAAAAAAGCATAGTTTTTTATGTCTACCAACATTTATGGCTCCTGATTCCTGAGTCTGAGAAGAGTTATTGGGATTCCTGCCCCCAGGGGAGTGTCCTGTCCCCTCCGCCCAGCTTCCTCGGTCCAGTTATCCACCCTGGGTGTGGCCTTTCAGACCCCTGCCCGCTTGGTCCAGGCCTCCTTCTCTTTGCATACTTGCATAGCTCTCCATGCTCCTCTGAAGGAGTGGGTTTTCTCTTCTGTGCCCCTCAGCCCCATTGGCCTCCCCGGCTGTGGTGGCAGTTGGGTGTGGACCCCTCATCTGGCCTCATAGCTCTTACCCTTTTGTTGGTTCAGCTCCACCCCACATGAGTGAACTCGGGGCACCCATGTGACGGTGGAGGTTGCTGGGTGCTGGGCCCCTCTAGGCCTGTCGAGACGGACCACTCTCTCGGGCAGGCTTGACAGAAGGCCTGTTCGCTGCATGGTTTTGGAAGTCGGTAAGCCAAGGACTGCACAAATGTCTCCATCATTTTCTAGAAAAGAAGAAGCCGAGGCGGGGCAGGCCTTCGCGGGACTGGCGGGAGCGGAGGAACGCCATCCGGCTCACCAGCGAGCACACGGTGGAGACCCTGGTGGTGGCCGACGCCGACATGGTGCAGTACCACGGGGCCGAGGCCGCCCAGAGGTTCATCCTGACCGTCATGAACATGGTGAGTCCGGAGCTGGGGTCCTGACGTGGGGGGCTCTGTTTTCTCCTTGATGAGAGATCTGGAAGCGGGTGCTGTGTCCTCATCTCCTCAAGTGAGGAAGACACTGGGTTAGGGGATAGGGGAACATAGCCTGGTGATTCCAGGCATTGAGGAGGGCAAGTAACTGGGGGACATCCCAATGGGAGAGCGCCTGCCCTCGACTCCACACTGGTGTGGTGTTAAGTGCCCAGATCTGCTCAGTGACGGGGCCACTTGTTACCAGAAGGCTTCCCAAAAGCTTTGCGATGCATCAGACCCAGTCCAAGGGGCATTCGAGGTCATGTGAATCCCAGACCCTGCTCCAAGGAGTCCATAGTCTAGCAGGAGGAACAAATTCTGACTTCTCTGGAAAACAGAGCTTACTGTATGGTGAGAAGTGGGGAGAGACGTTGTCTAGTTGAGGGAACCAAGGAAGGAGTCAGGATGCCCACGTCTGTCTACGTCTGATTTGTCAAATGGGGATGGAGGGAAACCTTTAGATGGGGATGGGTGGGTGGTGAGGCCGCGCTCCTCAAATGTTAGACCCTGAAGAACCTTCAAGGGCATCTTAGCTTTACCCATCCATTCATTTTCCCAGGTGTTTTTAAGGACTAAGTCATTTGACATGGCGGGAGCGGGGAGCCATAAGGGTGTGGGAGATGTGGATAGGGCTGGGTGAGGGAGGGAGGGCCAGGCATCTTGAGGAGCAGGGGCTCTACCCTGAGAAGTGGGACCACTGAAGGGAAGGGGAACAATGTGCTGAGGTTGATGTTAGGAAGAACAGCCCAGCAGCTGCGTGCAGGGTGGATTGGAATGGGAAGCAGTGTCGTGGAGCATTGGGGCTGGAGCAAGTGTGGGAGAGGTTGGAGTGGGAATGGAGGAGGGGCTGGCGTAAGAGGAAGGAGCTGCAGGAATTGGTGACTGGCAGGATGTGGGGGTTAGAGAGGCAGGAAGAGGAGGCAAGAGAAATCCAGGCTTCTACACCCAGGCTTCAAGCTGGGCCTCTGGGTTGGCGGTGGAGCCATTGGCTGAGAAAAGGAGGAGGAATGAGTTTGGGGCCACAGCAAAGAGTTTCCATTCTGGACAAACTGAATTCAAGGTGGACATCAGGACAGAGGTCTTGGTGGGAAAGAGGGACACGGGCTTTTTAGCCTACAGCTGACAGCTGAAGTAGGAGAGTGAGCAGCATTGCCTGGCTGAAATGTATCAGTGAGTAGAGAAGCTGTCCAAAGACAGCCCATGGAGCACCAGCCCTGGGGGGATGGGGCAGTGACCTGGGAGGAGGTTGTCCTGAAGAAGGGGTGACAGGTGCAGGAGGAGACTGGTTAACAATGCCAGATGGAATGGCATTAGGGAGTGTTGTTGTTAGATGCTTAATGAGAACAAACTGAAAAGTGAATGGGAAGTGAGAAGTAGAAACAGCTACAACTCAGCTGTAGAAACAGCCAAGTTGCTGATCTTGGCTACAGTAGAGGAGAGGGAAGCCTAGTCAGGTGGAATCTGGGTTAAGGGGAACTTTGTAGAGGGAAAGGGATATGAAGGTTCCGAGTGTGAGGTTTAGCCTCAGGCCTGGGCTAGACTCCTGCCCAGCCACTCATAACAGAGAAGAACCTCTCTCAGCTTGCTTCTTATCAGCAGGTCAGGGATTTAGCTCTGACCACAGTGAGTACGTGGTGCCTGGCCACAAATGGTCAGGCTGCTTATGGAAGGGAGTGACGCGAGAGGACAGGGCAAGGTTAAACGACATGGGTGCAGTGGGGAATGACCCAGGGCCTGAGTTTTCAGTGGGGACACAGCAGCCATGGGTTGTGTTGTGGGGTAGGGAGATGACACATCTATCCCTGGAATCTGCAGGGCCTTTGGGCCAGCTGCAACCAAGGTCTTGAGGTCTAGGGAAGGTACAGAGCCTGGGCTGCCCAGGCCATAGGCACCCTTGTTTGCTTGGTGTGGTGAGCTCTGGAGCTCAGGGGTAAGTGCTGGGGAGGAAGTTGGCCCTGACATGAAGCGTAAGGGAGGGGCTCAGAGTGCTGGGAGGATAGCGGAGGGCGGTGGTCCTCATGGCTGGACAGGGTCTGCAGGCGGCTCTTTGCCCATGTGTGGATGTTATGTTGCTGAGAGGGATGGCTGGGGTTTTAGAGGTAGATTGGGGCAGGGCTGTGAATGGGAAAGAACACAAAAGCTGGATGAACCCTCCAATGCACCATCGCCGCTGGGATCTCAGCTCTGGTAGTTGTGTAGCTGGGGCTGTGGTGTCTGGGAGGCCTGGTGGCAGGTGGTGGCCTGGACAAAGGATACCAGGATACCATGTGGTGGCCTGGACAAAGGATTCTCCCCTTGTGGGGATGGGATCCCACAGCTTGTTTCCCAGAGACTGAAGGAGGCCCCGTAGTGGGGAGACTCAGGGACATTGCCAGAGTCACACGGGAAGTCACCGGCAGAGCTATGACGACCATGTCAAGCCTTTCTTACCCCTAACCAGCCGCACAGGGAAATCAATATTGAGGACCCCAATTCTGGGCCCAGTGGGTGTGGGGACCCCCACAGCAATCCTGCTTGTCAGGAGGACAAATCTCTGGTACTTTGTCCTCTGTTTTGTTGAAGACTTTCCAGGACTGCTTTCGGGACGTGTCTCTATCTGTAGGAAATTCCCTCTGTCTCCTCCACACCCCTCGCCCCTGCTGTGCTCTGGAGGGAGGCTGCTTTGGCAGCACTCAGAGAGTAGAGGCCTCATGTTGAGCCACCGAACCCACACGTTTCCTCACATGCCAGGCTCTTCTGCAAGGCACACTTGCCAAGGAGGCCCCCGGGACCCTGGGCCAGGGATCTGCTTTCCGACGTGGCCTCGGTGGGCACGTGAGGGTGCCATACTGCTCCCACTCCTCCTTCAAAGTCATCAACTCTGGAAGTTCCATTAACTTAAAAAAAAAAATTGGGCAAATTTCTTTTTCTCTTTTTTTATTGTGGTAAATGTATATGTAATACAGAATTCACCATCTGAACCATTTTTATGTGTACCAGCTTAGTGGCCTAAAGCACATTCACCTTGTTGTGCAACCACCACCACCATCCACCTCCAGGACTTTTTCACTATCCCCAAAACGGAAACTTCCTACCCATTAAACACTATCTCCCCAAGCCCCTGCCAACCTCCATTCTACTTTCTGTCTGTATGAATCTAATGACTCTAGATACCTCTTATAAGTGGAATCATGCAGTATTTATCCTCTTGTGAACAAATGGCTTATTTCACTCAGCATAATGTCCACAAAGTTCATCCACGTTGTGGCGTGTGTCAGGATGGCTTTCGTTTTTCAGGATGAGTAGTATCCCATTGCACGTACGTGCACCACATTTTTCTTATCCATTCATCCATCAGTGTATGCCTGGGTTGTTTCTGCCTTTTGCTATTGTGAATAATGCTGCTATGAACATGGGTGTGCAAATCTCTGTTCAAGTCCCTGCCTTCAATTCTTTCGGGCATACACCTGGAAATGGAATTGCTTAGGTTAACTTTTGATGTTGCTCAGCTGTGAGAAATAGTTCCGTGTTAACTTTGGATGGTGCTCATTTCTGAGAAATAGTTCCATGTTCCTCATGTGCACAAACCCAGGTCTCCCCGGTGGCCAGTTAATGATGGGCTGCATTGCTCCAGTCTGCCCGGAGCATGCCTGAGATGAGGGCTGGAGGGGCTTGGCTCTGTACCAGATGCTTTCATCTGCAGATTATTTTTTCTTTCTCTTTTTAAAAATTATCCAGGGCACAAGTGCAAGGAATAAACATTCATTACAACAGCTAAGGTAGTAATAAGGCAGAACTTCTACTTTGATATTTGCTTTCATAATTTATCATCCAGGCAGGGGTGGTTGTTTGATCCCAGGCAGGGAGTGGGAAGGGAATGGGGTTGGTACATGGAGACAGGCCTTCCCACCCGCACCCCTCATGGGCCGTAAAGACTGAAGGGCTCTGTTTCTTGCCTTTGATTGAACACCCTTCACCCCTCTTCAGGGGCTTGTACTAAGACGCTAGAGGCTCAAGAGCCCGGGGCTGAGGGCAGACCTGGGGCCAACATGTGAAGTTTGGATTGAGATGTTTCCTGAGGAGGCCTGCCTAATAAAGGCGATCCCGCTGTGAGAAGGGCTGAGTGTGATGACTCTGAGCCCTTCTGTCATCTATACTTGGGGTTTCCAGGCCCTTTTGATCCAAGCCAGAAGGCAAATGGAAGCAGAGTCATCAGCCCCCGAGCCCAAGTGGGCTCACACCGCAGCAGCCCTTTCTTGCCGCTCTAGCCCTGGACCACCATTCAGTAAATTGAAAAACAAGTTCCGTTTAGACGTGACACCTTGTTTAAACAAGACCACCTCCACCAGCACCTCCCTTTCTCAATTCTTCAAATCCTGGTTTAGGAAATCCAAAGAACTCTCCTGCCTGTGGCTGTTTTAGAAAAGGGCTTTCTGTTAGCAAGTGAGACAACCTTTAAGCTGGGAGGAAGGGAAAGGATTGTGGCTGGGCCAGAAGGCCTGTCATTAGACAAGCCCCCTGGAACAGAGAGCAGAACGTGATGCCAGCGAGCCCATCTGCTTCCCTCCAGAGCATGTTTTCTGTGGGGCTGTGGGATGGGAGTGGCCCTGTCTCCTTAACCCCTCCAGATTTGGAAGGAAACCTGCTAGAGTTGGTTGCCACCTTCATTCCAACACATTTCTCTCCGAGTTGTGGGAAATAGCATGATTCGTGCTGATGGCCGGGCACCCACTCCCTCCCACCCTCCCACTTAGGTCTCTATGGTCGGAGGCTTGGCTCTCCCATGTATGCTGACCTGACTGCCAAGGTAGAACTCAGACAGGACCCTATCCCCAAGGCAGACTGGGGGCTAACAGTGCCTCAGAGAGCTGATAACATGGCCAAAACTGGGAGAATTTGGCATCAGGTGTTGGCTCCAGGTTTTCATAGCATCTCACGGTTTTGATATATTCGATTAGCATCAA